AACGCGCGTTCTGGCCAAGATTTTGCGGCGGCTCTTCGTCGCTGGTTTGCGGTACGCCGCACTGTTGGCCCGAAAACGAAAAATTTTAATCGCGTTCAGTGACGACGGAAACACTGGAAACCGCTTCGAGATGGGGAGGGGCTGAAATTATTTTTTGCCGGTTAATAGTTTCTCTGTGAGCGAAACATATGCCTCTCTCCCCCTCAAACACTGGAAAAAAACACATTGGATCTAGAGTCCATCAGACTCTTGAAAACATTGACAAGAAAAAGGACTCTTCATTCAATCAGATTTAAGCTTAAATCTAGAGGGAGTCCGCTCAAATTAAGAGGCTTGGTTCTTGATTTAAGCTAGATTCTGATTGAATCAAGAGAATTTTTTCTTGTCGATGTTTTTAAGAGTCTGGACTCTAGATCCAATGTGTTTTTTTTTTCCCAGTGAAAAAAAAAAATCTCAGATCATTGACAGCTATTGGCTTCGATCATTTCCTTTGCGTTTGTTGGACCGATTTTTCCTTGAGTCGCGTCATTTTCAAAGGGAATGACTTCAAGTTTCATCCAAGTGAGGAGTCAACGTTACACAGTTAAAAAACTTTTTTTTGGCAACTTTTTAATGGCCAGATCAAGTAAAAGGACCTTGTCGATCAACCAAATTTTTGGCTAAATTGACCGAGACCGTAGGCCGCTCTAAAACATCTAGGGATGAAGAGGATGTCCTACTGAACTAGTGCACTCTTCTTTCTCTCGATATTACTCAAACGTTGCGACTCTTGAGTGGTTATTACCCATGCGATCCGAACTCGATCCTGGCAACTGGTGAGGCAGTTTGAGGGTAAAGGGCGTCAAAACGCCTTCAATTTCGTGCGTATGCAGCATGGACACCCATGGAGACCGAATAGTTGCATCGTGTCTGAATATTAACAATTAGGTTGCTAATTTTTAACGAAAAAATTCGGTCAATGTGACCCGAAGATCTGGTCAAAGTAACCCGAAGACCAGCGAGTCCATCAGTGATGCTTGTGGCGTGCGAGATATTCCCAAGTGGATCAGTGTGAGGAGGAGAATGTGGTAGGAACACGTTGACCGAATTGATGAGAGACTAGCCAGAATTCGTACGACCGGACAACTCTCAGGGGAAAGATTACCTGGACGACCCGCCTAAGGGATGAGCACAAAGCTGGCTCTCTTCTCCCGAGAATGATTGAGTGTTTCATTGCAGTTTGATAGGTTTGGCGAGTCCTTTAAAATTCCGATTTTTTTTATTTATCTTTTCTTTTTGAATGTGCTCGATACTGAATAGGGAGAAGAGGAGCCTACAGAAAACTAACCAGAAAATACACTGGAAAAAAACACATTGGATCTAGAGTTCAGACTCTTGAAAACATAGACAAGAATAAAGGACTCTTGATTCAATCAGATTTAAGCTTAAATCAAAAGGAAATCCGCTCGAATTAAGAGGCTTGGTTCTTGATTTAAGCTTAAATCTGATTGAATCAAGGGTATTTTTTCTTGTCGATGTTTTTAAGAGTCTGGACTCTAGATCCAATGTGTTTTTTTTCCCAGTGTAGAGCCGAACGTTTAGATGACTCTTTTTTCCGTTTCTAAGCTTTATATTTCCCTTGAGTTGGGTTGTTTTGGAATGGAGCGAATTGAGTTGACTGTGCGGCGGGCGGTCCCACCCTGCACCCCTCGCGGCGGCAGCGGACGACCGCGGCGGAACCGTCAACGCCCGTCCCAAACATTCGCCAATGAAGCGCGTCGCGCGTCACTCCGGGCCCGATTCCCAGGGCGAATTTTCCTACAAAATTTCCCGACAAATTTCTCGCCGTCCAGTGTACCCGACGAGCTACCTCGCACAGTCGCACCTCCTTCCCGCCCGCCCCAACTCCCGTCGTCTCCTTCGGCCCGCCGTTTTTCGGCACTTCGCAAAATTCGAGGCTCTCTGATTTCGGATTTCGATTTTCCCCCCAGTTAAGACCACGCGACCGCCTTGTGATAACGTGCCTTTGTGTTGTGCTCATGTGATTTTTTGCGCCTCTGTGAATTTTATGCCTCTCAACTTAAGGTGAGGTCAAATTTTTAACAATTTTCTTTTTTATTTCATCGATTTTTGTTCTATTTTTTCCCCGATTTTGTGTTGTATTTCAACGGATATTGATTATGCAAGAGTAAATGGAGACTCAATCAATCCGATTAGTACCAACAATATTTTTAAAATATTGGTAGGTCCTCAATCATTTCTTACATATTGCTGTTGCAAGGAAGATTAAAACAATAATGAAATTTAGCCTCTTCTCCCACATATAAACAGAAACAAAATGTGATGAAAACTGTGATTGTTTCTTCTTAAGACCAATATGAATGAATAAATAACAATAAATAAAAACGTTTTGCAACTTTGATGGTTCGCAGACATTCGAGTAAGGAGATTTCTTTGGTCGCGGTTGTTACTTTTTTTTACTTTACATAACTGAATGACTCCCCTTAATTTCCTCAAAACGGACATTTTGTGCATATCATCTCTTGAAATTTCAGGAAATAAGATTTGCCATGAGATTTTCTCTCAATTCTGCCCCATCATTGGCGCGTGTGGTTAAATGAGTGAATTACGCTGCTAATATTCATCGTCAGTTGAGAAAAAGTTTTTGAAAACGTAACCGTAAGGGACCGGTCAAGTATTACGTAAGCCATTTTAGTCGTCTTGTTTACCCTCTCGCCCACCTGTAATAGCCAACGTCTCACCCCTTCCCTTTGAAGCCTTGCTTGGCCCTTCTCCCTTTTCTCCTCACCAAATTTCTCCAAAAAATATCGTAGGAAACCTGGAAAATTCCAGGAACAAATTATTTCTTCTGGCAAATATTATTTATTTTTAATGGGGAGCTTTACGTGAGCCTGATGGACCCAGCACCCCTTTCCTCGCTTATGACCTTGCAAGACAATAAGTTGGTTTGCGTAAAACTTGGTCTTTAAGCAATTTTTTAGTATGAGAGTCCAGGATGGAATCCTTGTTTCGCAATTTCAGCTTCTATACTATGACCATTTTTAAGTCTTCAGTAATAAGTGAAATGGCTCCGACATGCAATATAAACTTTTAAAGAAAACATACTTGCGATAAAGTACTTTTCGCCGTTTTTTAATAAATTGAAAAAAATATGTAATGTTCCCCCAATGCCTAATTTAGAACTCACTTCTAAAATATGTTAACTCTAAGCCGTCAAAAATTAATAAATAAGTACAATACTTCGGAAGATCATGAGTCCCAAAATTTCAAATATTTTGACATTGCTCTCCTCCTGCCCTTGGTTTTTTTGGAGCTATCTTCGAACCCCGCCTTTACTTTTAGTACCTTAATCACCAGAATGCAGTTACATTTAATGGCTCAAAAACTTTCCATCCTGCAGCATTTTTCTTGCCTTTACTTTGACGACTTCGCCGTCACCAAGGCATTCTCTCTCGCGGATCTCTCTCTAATCTCTTGATTTATTTATTTTTGCTTTTGTTTCTTTAAATGTTGGCCAATAAAATGGATTAAAGGCATTAATCGATCACCAATCGGTCTTTGTAACAGTGCGAATTTAAGCTCGGTCTGTTCGCGAACGTTGCTTCTTTATTCTTACGGGGACTTTAACGCGTGGTAACGAAGTATTTTGTTCTTCAAAAGAATCGAATTTTCTAGTTAATTTCAGAAATTTCGTATTTAATATTGATATAAGTTTAGGAACGAGGGCTTTTTTTCATATATTTATCGCCAATTTCGTAAGAAAGGAGCGTTGGAACCCTGCGCTTGGGTGCCGTAAAAACTAATCGTTTCAATAGAATCTAAGTACTCCAAATGGGCAAAGTAAAAGATTATGACTGTCAAATCGAGGGGAGTTTCAAAGTTTCATGTTGGCAAAATTTCATCTAACTGCTCAGATTTTTTAGTGCATCTGTTTTAATATCATCACGTCTTCACCACCAGCAATTTCTCTGAGCAGTAACTGCTCCTCATTTTAAATTGATTTTGAATCTTTCTTTATGCCAAAATTGATCAATTGCCCTTTGACTCTGAGGTATTTGACGAACCACTTTTTTCCTCATTAAAAACTCACCTACTTTCCGCCAGGGGCGTTTTTGCATGGAAAATTCAGAGGAAACAGAATCGATTGAAGAAGGGAATGGTGGCAAGTGGCAACGTATATTGTTTTTTAGCCTTCAATTCTTGAGGTGGGCTAAAAAACATCCTCCATAAAGCACGTAGAAAAAGACTTATATCTTGCGTTATCCACACATCTTGGTGCCCGAAACGACGTCCTGGGTGCCGATTATTGATAGACGAAGCTATAGACAAATAAGAAGAAAGAAATATGGACGGATCTCATTGGTGAAAGCGGATGCTTGCAATGGACAAAGGAGGTAAGTAATAGACACACTAACGGCAACCCACGAGAAACTCTACAGTTAGTCCATCATTTTCTCTCTTCGTCAATGACAACCATTCGTTTCGACAAATAGGATCGCTCCATATTCAAGATGTCCTCTTTGTCTATCGCTTTGTCTATCAATTTCAATAATCAGCCCGCTGGTTTTTAGCGAGCAGCCGTGCCTTCCTGGCGTATGCATAAAACACCACTGATTTTCCCGCTCAAATAAAATCACCCGCCAAGACGAGTTCCTGATGGACGACGGTCAATGCAGCGGTTTAATCATGAGGAGCATGCACACGCGGGGCCTTGACCCCCGGGGGACGGCCGGGCCGAAATCAAGTGCGTTAGTAGGTCTTTTCGGTAGCCGCAGTCGGGCACACTCGGTTCCGCTCTCAATGGATGCAAATTGAATCGCATATCAGTTCGATTTCATTGTTTCAAATCTGTACTGCCATACCGCCGTGCTGAGGAAACACAGTATGAACACCCGCAAGTTGCCGAATTTCCTCTGCTACAGCACGATTTTTTCGGGAAACTAAAGAATTTTTTAAAAAAAAATCTAAAATATCATACTCACAACTTAATGATGTTTCCCTGAAATTTTTAAGGGAGAATATTCTTTATTTTTTCATATTGTTGAAAACTTCATGGGGAATATCTGGCATCATCCAACTACTCTTACGGCGTTCTTCCGTAGCATGGCACCATACCGCTAGCTCCCATTGTCGCGTTGCCGTCCTCCTAACGTGTATATGGCCCTCGCCCGAAAGTTCTTACTCTCTCTTTTTCTCCCTCGGGAGATTTGCTCACACGACACGTGCCCTTTCTGTCAACATCTATTTGGAGGACTTTAAACCTCGAAATTGTGTTTTTTCAGTGGCATATGCATGGTCAAAGTCGAAAAGTTGATCCCCATCGCAAACTTTTATCCAATTACATTTTCTTTCTTGGATGATTGGAAAGATTAACAGATAGCGGCGTGCGTGGCGTAACGTTTTTTGCGATGCATCGACTGATCTGCCATTTAAACCTATGGAAAAGGATCGGAGTGGATAAAGGATAAACGGAGTGTTCGAAACGAACATCTTAAATGGTCAATTTTTTACCATAGCTTCCAAATGGGAAAATATCGACAATCGATCATTTACGTCTCGCCACTGTCACAGAGAACGTCAATACACTCTCTCGAGTATTTCTTTTTTAAAAAAAAAGTAAAAAAAAGTAAATTAACAGATAGATAAATAAATAAACAGATAGATAAATTAATAGATCGATAGATATATGGATAAATAAATAATAAAAAAAAATCCTATGCGGAGATTCGCAATGCTCCGCTTGTAGATACGTATCTTTCAACTTTACCCATAATTTTTTTGCATATATCTTGCGGGAAAGCACTACCAAACTGCATTACGCGTTGTTTCGTATCCTCTTACTATTTATTTTTTTGACATGAACTAAGCAATTATCTAGATTTTTCGTGCACTTTAATGTATTTTACAGCCTTAGCATATTAAATTCTACTAAAATGAAAATCATAATATTCTGAATAAGTTTTTAAACTTGGCCACCCATTTGAAAAAAAACAGAGTTCCGAAGAATGCATCGCAGATTGGGAAATGCATTTATTCCTTGGTTCTTGGGAGTGTTCTTCAGCGTTGTTGACTCTCTCGACTATAGTCGATAAATAAAACCACCAAGAAGATCCGAGATGTAGTATGTTCTTTTGCAAGGTTGTTCTCTTCGTAAGTTGAAAAGTGCATACATTACTCTGATTTTGGTGCTTGCAGTTTTTAAGAGCTCATTGTTTCGTCTGAGGGTGCGTTTCTTGTAGTTGCTGTTTTTCTTTCTTTATTTTTCATCGGAAAAGGTAGATAAATAAAAATACCGGGTGGCGACTACATGCTACTTTAATAGATTCCTAGACGCTGGGAAATGTTTATGATCGCGATAAAGCACACACAAATCGGACAATAACATGAGAGCGGCCATTACAAAAGGGGGGATAAAGGCCCCAGTTCCAATTAAGAAAACAATCCGGAGATATGCGCGGTGTGCCGGTGTGCGAAATAAATCCAAGCGCTCTCCATCCGATGAGTCGATAGGTATGGTATCCGTCGACAATAGAAACCGTTTCTAAATTCCAGACACAGAGATCAAGAAAATGGAAAATTTAAGCACTCGGTTTTCTCTGCATTCTGATGGATTCAATAAGTTTTCTCGCAATTTAGAGTTTAGTATAATTTCCGGGTAAGTGAAAAGCTGCAAAAAGTTTTTTGCCTGAGTTTATCCTCTATCGTGATTAGGAAATGTGGTACCAGGGACACACAGAGAGACAAATGCTTTAATTTAAAATGACCCTATCGGGCTAATACGAGCTTTTCAATTTTTCAATTTTTATTTTCGTCGAAGTCGTGTCTGAAGTGCTGCCAAACTAAATGTATAATACCTGACTTGTTTGGAAAATTCTGTCTTTCAAATAGTCTGATACCCCGAGGAAACTCAATTCCCCTGTAAGATAGGTAATTCTTTTTGAAAATGATTCTTGCAGTTTAAACAATTAAGATCTGTTCGATAAGCATGACATTTCGGCTGAATTCAAGGGGGCGAAGCATCAAAAGGTCTATCAACTCTGTGGCATTGCTCCAAAAAAGGGCAC